TTTTTTAAATTTTCAGATTTCTTTGATTTTTCATTTGATTTTAAATGTTTTCATTTTAGTTTAATTTTTATTTCTAAAATGAATGCGGATATTGAGTTCGATAAATATTTTGGTAAGTAGAACGACTGAAATAAAACAAAATTAAATGAATAAAATTATGTGACTCTTGAACTCAACATTGAAGGATTAAAAGAAGAAATTTCACCCTTTCTCTGATATCTTTAATTTTACCCAAATTTTCCTCACTCTCGGAAGTGATTAAGAAAACTTTGATGAGAACAGCTGACTGCAAAAGACGTTAAGATTTCAGAATCAAAAAAAAGACGAAGAAAAAGTTGTAAAAGTTTTGTTTGTGGAAAAAAATTTGGTGAGAAAATTTGCACTTTTTTTGTGGTTGAGAAAATTTACCTTCTTGAGTGTCTGCTATGCCGGCGGGTTTATTAGACGAAGGTCGTCAAAGTTTTGTTTCGTTTTGAATAATTTTCAGACAGTGAATTGTCGCATTTCCCTGATCCATTTTTAAATTATAAGCAATAATGAATATAAAAAAATTGCACATTAAAATCGCAGCACATTTTTCCTTTTCATTGCTCTGAAAGTGCATTTCCCTGAGAAACTATAAGTAAAAAAATATAAATAGATAAATATGTGAAAATAACAAAAAAGTGCAGTAAGAAAGAGAGAAAAAAAGTTTATTTACTGAAGAAGGAAAAAAATAGCGAAAATCGACGTCGTTTTCCGCGAACGCTCTTGAGGTTTTTTTTCGGGTTCAAAAACACATCGCAAGGTCATTAAGCTAGTTGGCATGAGAAAGAAATTATTTAAAGAATTAATGATTGTTATTAATGCTAATGATAACTACTTCATAATTATCTACATACAACTAATTGTGTCTTCAAAAATCTCTCATTTTGAAGCATAATTAACACTTTATCTTTAAATAAACTTCTGCTTATGTAGTAAATAAGTTCTGAGAAGATTATAAAGTTATGCACTTAGCAAAACTATCTCATGAGCACCCACGACATAACATCACAAAAAACTATAAGATGGAGAAAAGTTGCGAAAAAAAGAGTCAGCAGTAAACTAGAAAAAGGTTAAAAAATCGCGAACAAAAATAGAGAAAAAAATCTCACAAACTCCAATGTGCAACGCCTGAAAAATGTGTGCAGTTACAAACACATTTTTATAGTCTTATTTCTTTTATTTATCTCGTCGGCTACGAAAAGAAGGCAGCATTTTTTCACTTAGAATCTGTCGCAATGTGTGAAAAGTCGGAAAAAAGTTCTAGTTCTGAAATCGTTGAGTTGAGTTCGTTTAAAAAATGCGTAGAAGAAACGTGATCGCTGTACAGGATAGTTGTACATCTTGTGATGAGTTTTAAAGTATTTAAAAGTTACAAAATCGAAAAATAAACTCTCACAAACATTACTCCTTAAAAAGTTAACAACCATTTGTGATTTAAAGTCAACAGCATAACCCGCTAATAGTTTGTCAGTTGAAGTAAAACGAAATTGATTTTTTATAACGCGACACAAAAAAAAATCAGGTTTTCCCTTTTTCAACTAACTCACAGAGGTAAAAAAGTTACAAAAAAAAATTACTTGGTGATCCTTTCGAAGTTAATTAAGTGAATATGAAAGCCGCGTGTGAATTTTTTCTCGTCGCGAACGACTAATTTTCAGTTAAATGCATCGGATATTGAAATCGACGCTTCGTTTATTTCTTACGACCTATGTCAATAGTAACCACGAGGTTTACATTTACAGTTGATTTAGGCCCATAAAATAATTGACCAAGAAATCTACGAAGAGAGATTTTTAAATAAAACTGACGGAATTAATTGTTGTTTACAATGCGGCAGTGGGACTTGTACAAATATTAGGTTTGTTGTGTTTCGTTGCGATGAACACATATTGTAATTCAATACAAAACGTGCAAAATTTCTCTCGAATAACATAAACAACAAATAAAGTTTATACTCATGAATGTGTTGAACCGAATGTAATTGACACCTACGCTTGCTTGTGATCTCACTTTCTTGCTATACGCGTATTGCTCAAAAAAATCACGAGTGCAAAATAAAAAGTGACACTAACCTACGACAAGGTAAAACTTATTTTTAAAATCAAACAAAATAAATAAAATCAAGCAGTGAAAAAGAGTCGTGAGAAAAATGATTCGCTGATAGTTCAATGCGCTTCCATTGCGTCCAGTAAATTGCACGTTAAAGTTTTTCACTTCACACTATTCGTCTATTTTTATTTACTCAAGCATTTTGCATGCTTCTAAAGTTCATAAAAGAACTTTCAATTTCTTTACTCAAAGCAGATGTTTAAAGTTGCTCTCGCTTTGAGAACTTTTTTCCAGGTGTAAACTTGGAAAAACTTTTACAACTTTTACCTGTCGCTTGCCGCAAAAGAAAATATCACAAAATTCTCATATGGAAGACTTCAACTTTCATTGATTAAAGCTTTATGGTGTTAAAACATCGACTTTTTGATTCACAGATTTTTATGCACAAAAGTGCAATGCAGATGCAACATGCACGAGATATACAACGTAATGGACCCCCAGCCCCTGGAAGTGGAATTGGAGGTGATATTAAGCCCCATCAATGTCAACAGTGCTTAAAGAGCTTTAGCAGTAATCATCAACTCGTTCAACATATTCGAGTTCATACTGGAGAAAAGCCATACAAATGCACTTATTGTGATCGTCGATTCAAGCAACTGTCACATGTTCAGCAGCACACAAGATTACATACCGGTAAGTCATCTCAGCTTCACCTTGAAATTTCAAAATGTTTATCCCAACCCCGACGAAACATAACAAGACGAGACAAAGACACAACGAAATCAATTAATGACTCTCTCCTAAGTTTTTAATTTTTAATTATACATTTTCGTTTCCACTCGAAACGACTCCAAGGGGGAGGAAGAAAAGTTTTCATTTTCGAAGCAAATAGAAGTGAAAGAAAATGAGTAATTAACGAGCTATTAGTCCTCCCCCGCTGCTATGTTATTTTTATTTGTCCACGCTACGATTTTTTCTCATCTCATTTTCGAATGAGTGAGGAAAACTGCAAAACTGGGAAATCATTTAGCATCTCCGGACGTGACCTTTCCACTCTAGAAAATAAATGAAAAAAAGAAAAGGAAACGAAAGAATTTAATTTGCAACGAACTTGAGAAGAAGAAATGATTCAGTAGCGTCACGACATTTTCTGTGAAATTTTAATTGTATTTCACAATAAATATTTTTGACTTTTATCATGAAGTTTCTCACATAATTTCAAGGGTTAATGTTTATCAATTATCAACTCACCAAAGGAGAAAGCAAAACTAAATATTTGCTGATTGTCTGAAGCTTGTTTGCGCACCTTCTTCTATGGAAGAGTTTATTGAAACATATTTTTAATTCGAAACTTGTTTCCAGCTACACAAGCAAATTTACATCTCCACGCTACTGAATTTTATTTTTTCTTAATTTTTAATTCTCCCAAACTCATCATCACCTTAATCGCAACATTTTTTGTTCTTTCTTCACCCTTCCGGAAAGATTTTTTAAGAACTGTTCATCTTTTAATCCAACACGAAAGATGAAATCAAAGCAAAATAAGCACAAAAGTGAAGAAATAATAAAAAAAAATCCTTCAAATTGAAATGTTACACAAACATGCCAAACGGGCATTTAAAAAATAATAAAAAAGGGTTAAGCGAACGATGAGAAAAAAGGCATTGCAGTGAGAATGAATAAAAAAAATATAAATTTTCACTGGGGACAATAAAAAGATTTCTGCTCGAGCATGGAATGAGTCGTGGTGCTGATGAGTAATTAAAATTCCTCGTTGAAGCGCTGCGATTTTACATTAAATGAGCTTGTTGCGATTCAGAACTCAATGAAATTTCTCAGCTTATGAGCAAGATTTCTTTTCCATCGTATTCTCAACTTCAAGTTTACACATTTTGAATTAATGATTGATTAAAAATTAAAACTGATTTCAATTCAATTAACGAAATAAAGAAAAAATTAAGAAATGATTTGAGATAATAAAAACTCATCTGACTTCGTTCTCATGTTAAGCGACACCCTTTGAAGTATTTCGCAATATCTGCCACCTGGAAATTAAATTTTGAAAGTTAAATTATAGACGCGGCGTAATTTTCGCGACGAAATTTAATTCCTTGACATTCTTTTCTAAATATAAAATGTTGTAATTAAATTTTTAGGCGAACGACCCTATAAATGTCATCTTCCTGATTGTGGTCGTGCCTTCATTCAGCTAAGCAACCTTCAACAACATTTACGCAATCATGATGCCCAGGTGGAGCGTGCTAAAAATCGTCCCTTCCACTGTAATATATGTGGCAAAGGCTTCGCTACGGAATCAAGTTTGCGTACACATACGTCTAAGGTAAGAGTTAAGAATGTTATGCAATTTTATATCAAACTCTTATCTGAAGTTTGACTATCAAGTAACAATGAAAATTTAGAAAAGTTACGATGACAAGACACCTGTTGAATTTACCATTTTTCATTATTTTTAAATATCAAGAACGAACATCGGCAAACACACATTAGATCATGACCAGATGGATAAGTCTCTTCATGATGAATTGTCTTCGGGCAATTTATGCACATTTCTTTCATTTCTTTTCTATCGCTTTTTCACGCTCACGTTTCAGCTGCTTCAAAATTGTTTCACAATTCTTTTGCCATCTCTTTCTTCATTCTTTTGTATTTTGCAATTAATTAATTTGCCAATGCTATTGTTTTAAATTATTCCATCACCACAATGAGAGTCGATAATGAAGTATTTAAACCTTAATTGGCTGGGATGTTAGAAAAATGAGCGAACTACGATTTGGAATGGGCGTGAAATAAATTTTCTGTTTTATTTCCAATTTCAAACAACTTTTTAAAATATTAGAAAAAAGTTTTATGGTTGATTTGAGAAAATATTTTACACATTAGCAAACATATGGGAGTGAAGTTTATTAAGAAAAATTTCATCATTTTCGCATCTTCTGATTTAAATTTTTTACTTTCAAGGAATGAAAGAATTTTCTCACTTTTTGTGTCATTTATTAACTCGCACATTTCCAAACCTTGAGATTATTTACTCGACGTCGTCACAAAATCGCTTCGATATTACAAAAAAATGAAAAAAATAATCCCCTGCTGAAATTGGAAGCATTTTCAATACAATCAATAGGGATAAAGAAGAAGCTGACAAATGAAAGCAAAAAAAAATGGCACAAAAAAACTAGAAGAACCATTTTGTGTTTATTGAGATGAAAAATACGAAATTGTTGACGAGTTTCTCACAGATGAATGAAATTTACAGTTGCAAAAAAAATTATGAAGTTTCTAACGACTTCACGCTGTTGTTGATTTTTCACAGGAATTGCAATTACATTTGGGCGTTCTCCAACAACACGCAGCGTTAATTGGTGGCCCCAATGCCACGAGCTGTCTCATCTGTCATAAACTTTTCTTGGGCGCTGATGGTAAGTGAATTTATGTTTTAACGAAATTTATTCAACATTTTGATGTATTAAGAAGTTAATTATTTTTATATGAAGTTTCTTAAAACTTTATTTAAAGAAAGTTTACAAGCTATCAATTTAACTTTCGTTTCTTTACCTATTGCAGCTCTTATGGAACATATGAAGCATCACCATAAGCAAGAACCAGCACCAACTGTCGTTCCAAGTAAAAACACAATCCCCGAAGCATTTTTACCAATTTATTCACAAATTTTATTTCTTTTTTTCTCTTTAACCAGCACCTCCAGCAGTTGACGCTCTTTCTCCAAATGATCAATTCAATCTTGCCAAAAGACGTACTGCAAATCATCCATGTCCAGTATGTGGCAAAAGTTACGTAAATGAAGGATCGTTACGTAAGCATTTAACTTCTCATCCTGAAACTAGTCAGTTGGCAAACAGTTTGAGAATGTGGCCATGTTCTGTTTGTCAAGCTGTGTTCACACATGAGGCTGGTAAGTTTTCAGAAAACATTGCAAATTAAATAGGACAATTTAAAGTTTTCTTTTTATCGATTTGCAGGTCTTTTAACTCATATGGAACATATGAGAATGGATCCAAAGCATCAATTTGCTGCACAATATATGTTGAGTCGTGCAGCAGCAGAAAGACGAGAACGTGACACAATTTTAGCTGCTGCTGTTGCTGGTGGGTCAAGTTTGCTGTCGATGGGTAAAAGTTCACGTGGAGCGTCTCCATCTGCACATTCAGACACATCTTCTTGTAATGGTCGACTCTCATCGCCCCCACCTGATGGCCATAATGACGATAATAACAATAACCAGAATAATGGACCTTCGGGACTCAACGAAAATGGCGGTGACTGTAATAAGTTCATTAATACGAATGGAAATTATAATGGAAAACTTTCTGTCAATGACGTGCTTCGTTCACAAACGAGCGGCCACTTGCATCAACAATATCAACAAGCAGTTGCAGCAGCCGCAGCAGGAATTGCTGCTCAGAATCAGAATCAATGTAACGGTTTAGGGTCGCCAGGAAATCCTGCAACTTCAGCTGCACAAGCAGTTGTTAATCTTGCAAACGCAATGAGACAAAATCAGCCCATGAATCAACAGTCGTCACCTTCAGCTTATCATCAAAGTAATCAATCAATGTCGAATCTTCATCACCAACATCAACCTCAAAATCATCATCAAGATCCATCCGATGCAGCTTTACGAATTCATCAAGCAGAAGCTTTGTTGAGAAGCCAAGCCGAAGCTGCTTTAAGACTTGCGGTGAGTCAAGCGGCTGCTGTTGTTGCATCAAATGGTAATGAAAACAATAGTAACAATCAATTCCGTCATCATCATAATGGTGCACCTTACAACAATCATCATCAGCCAACGCAATTGCAATCTCAATTCACACCTGACTTGTCTGAAGCACTTCGACTTCAAGAGCAAAGACTCGAACAGGCACTTCGACTGCATGGTAGTGAACTTGGATTGCATCAACAACATCATCAACAGCCATGAGATTACGACTACGGACATCACCAGATGATGTCTAGCATTTAAAAAGATTTCTTTTATCTTTCATAAAAATCTTTCGAAAAACTGGGAAGAGCGAAAATATTGTAATTATTTGTAAAAACACTTGATTGAGAAAACAATGCCAAAACCAAAAATATTTCTTGATGTCAAAACTAAAATGAACTAGAAAATGATTTTTTGTTTGGACATCAGAATTTGAAATTTATCTAAACAAAAAGTGTTTCTCTCTATTTTTAGTTCATGACAGCGCAAAATTAAAAGAAAAACTGAAAATATTTAGAAAACAATTTTCTTTCTTAAAAAAATCTTGAAAGTTTTGAATTTTGGAAAATAAAAAAAAATTTAAAGTTGTAAAGACATTTGAAAAGGAACCACAAACCCCGCACAAGCAGAAATAAAGTTCATCGTAATTTCGTGCAATTTTAAAAAAAATGTGAAAAAGAAGGAAACGCATGTGCGCATTTCGCTGGTTATTAATTGGACAGCCCACTACCACCCACACCGCCCCTTCAATAATACCAAATATAAGAGATTCTGTGATTTTTATTTCGTTTTCTTCCTTAGTCTAAAGAATATTCAAATTGTTTGTTCATCTCTCTTATTTCTTAAACAATGATTTCGTTTCGTCTCGAATTGTTTTTTTCCTTTTCTTTTTTAATCTGTTGTTAACGAATAGGAAGAATTTTACTTTTTATATCAGCTTTTGTGCAATAGTTTTGTAAAGTAACATCAATTGTTTACTTTAGAAATAATTAAGTGCAATGTCACGATGAAACTTATTCTTATATTTAAATCATTAGTTATTAGGACAATCTGTTTATATTTCTTTTTCTTTTACGAATCATGCAAACATTTTCGGCAATGAAAAAATGAAAATAGTTTTTGGCTGAATATATTTCGAGAAGATATTTTCCATTAAGTTCTGATTTAAAGACTGACAAAATCACGAAAAACAAAAGAAAATTTTTAAGTTTCATACAGTCAGATTCAAATTCAAAGAAGAAAATATTAGAAAAGTTGTTTGGAGAAGAAGTTTTTGGCGTAAAGTTCAAATTATTAAAAATCATAGAAAACTGTAAAGAAAAAATTGGAAATCATAATTCAGAAGAAATGAAAATGTGTAAATTTTTAGGCATTTAAGATAAAAAAATTTATATGAAAATTAAAATTTGGAAAATGTGCAAAAAAATCAACAATTTTCGGTCGAAAGGTTCACGAGGTTGCTCTTTCTGATCTTGATGGATTGTTGTTACTTCATGAATATAATCTTAAGTTTAAGGTTTAAAAAATGCATTTCAGATGGAGCAAAAAAGAAAAGAAATTCAAAATTTAAAATCAATAAAATCATTTATTTGAAATCAATGTGTTTCATGAATTTATTGCTATCAAATTAATTTTTATTTTGTATTTCAGGTTAAAAAAACTGATATTTTGAAGCATGTCAACAGCAATTTATTAGAACACCCCAAATGTTTCAGATTCAATGTTGTTCAATGTTTTTTCAGTGTTATCCGGAAACATTGAAAACATTCAGCTTAATCCAATTCTCATGATGCGGGAAAATTTGAGCAACTCCGAAAAAACATTGGTTGCTGAGATTCACAAAACATTGATTATTTTTTTAAAATTCAAATTTTACAATTTTTAAAGGAAGTCGTACACCAACTGAGTACAGATAGCTAATTTAGCTTTATTTTAAACCAAACAAATGGAAATTTGCCTTGAAAACAGGGCTTGGAGCATTTCTTCAATGTTTTTCACAAAAAAACTCAACAACTGGGGGATACCAAGGGGAAATTTGAAAAATCACATTTGGGGGATACCAAGGGGAGAAAAAACACCGTAAGTCGAATATTTTCTGTGCTTCGTTCTTCCTCAGAATCTTCCTCATAAATAAATGTTATTACATTTTCTGACTAACTTTATTGATGATCGATCTTTCATTTAGCAATGAATACGGAAATTTTCTAAATATCTCAACTTTTAGATGAGTAACAAACGTATTTTGATTTTCAGTTCAGTTACACCAGATAGAAAATTAGACACTTGATTTATATGTTTGTAAACATGTGATAACGAGATTTGCTTTCTTTGTTGTTGATACTTTTTTAAATCAGCGTCTTGCTTATTTTTAAACTGTTTTTATATTGAGTAGCAACAACTTCTATCTAAAAATATCACGTCTTCTGTAATGTCAACATTTGCCCTATGCTTGATAATTATTGTTATAAAAACATTTCTGAATTTCAATTTCTACAAATGCGTGTCTTATCATTTCTTATCGTTGGTTCAATTTGATAACAAAAAGTACACACATAAAAGATATACACATAAAAGATATATTGTTAGTCTTTTCAGTGACTAACAGTGAACCAAACTAGCAAGTAACCATGCCGATTGTTAATCATTTTCTCTGCTTTGATCTCCAAACCGGAGGTTACGCAATTGGAACCTTCGAAATCATTCTTCACAGTTGCCTCATCGCCTTTTCCGGGTATCGTTTGATGAACACAAATAATTCGGGTATAAAACAGAAGTCGATTTTCTTTATTAAGTACATCGTAATGAATATTTTTATTATCATATTTACTTAGTTCAAATTGCTATGCTTTCTGGAGAAATGGCAATTTATGGATTTGGACTGCTTACAGCTGTTTTATTAATTGTTGGAGCATCAAAGGTGAATATTATTACCTAATTCGAATATTAATAGTCAATTAAAATTCTTTTCTTATAGAAAATTGTTCCACTAATATTCCCATACCTGATATCATCGCTTTTAGTTTTGGTGGCAATAATCATCAATCTAGTGACACTCAATTGGCAATATGTGCCTTTTGCAATCTACATAGTGTACACATTTATTTGTATCTTATCACTTTGCCAACAAATTCGTGAAGAAAAAGTTCGTAAAAGTGTAAATGGCTATCAACAAGCACCATTAAGTGAATAATCTTACTAAGAAATCGATAAAAATGTCGTCATATGTATAAAGGTGCAGCATTTGATAAAATGATATGAAAAGTTTATGAATCACCGCGAAAGCTTATCAGGTCGTGAAAAAAAACATAAAAGAATTAAAAACAGGAATAAAATCTCAGTTCATTATTTACTTCAGAGTAAAAGTTTATTTCAAATCATTTTCACAGTTAAATAGAAAAATTGACTTCCTGTAATTATCTAAGTTTATGGCTCAGTTTTAAATGTTAAGTTTTCAGTTCGTTAAAAAGTTATTACTTTTATAAAAAGCTACAATTTATTAATTAAGAAGTCTTATCTTGAACAACATCAATGATGATAACAGCAACAATAAAGCTTAAGTAAATTGCAATTGAAGTCCATTTGATAATTTTAAGCAACAATTGATTCTCATCCCTGGATTCAGTATTTTCACATTTAAAAAATATAAAACCAAGTACAATGCCGCTGAGTGCTCCAAACACATGAGCTTGATAATGAATTTTTGGTTCTTTGTTTCCATTTACCATACAGTGGAAAATTGCATAAACAATATCAGAGATCGATAGCAGACCGACGAAGATCATTCGATGAAAACGAAACGAGATTGTTGAGAAATTCTGTTGAATGTTCAGAGACTAATGAGAGTAAGTTTATATGAAAAGATCAGGTGATAATTTACCAAAAAAATGTGTGGGATGTAGCTCATTAAAAGAGCGTAAATTCCCGAACTAGCACCAACCATCAGCGAGAGATCGTCAGCCATTGAAGCAGCTAACGATCCACTTAAAATCCCTCCAATGTACACAATCGCAACATTTACGTGACCAACTTCAGTCTCCAAAGGAAATGCAATCACAAGTTGTAAAATTATATTAATAAAAAGATGAGCTATGCCAGCATGCAAAAGTGAATAAGTGAAGTATCGCCACAGTTCAAGTTTCCGGTTTGGTGAAAAAGCCAAAGTTTGATATGTGATGTTGTGATGAACGAAAATGTAGAAGAAGAGCTGGGAAAGAGAAATTAAAAATAAATAAGTGACATTGTAGAATTCATTGAATGATAAGATAAGGAAATGAACATTGCCATTGCTTATCGACATGGCGAAATTTTTCATCTATTTTAGGATTTACCTGAAGGACACTGAAGATAAGAATTGAAGTCGGAAGCTTCCATTTGCACTTCCTCGTTAACTTTTTAAGCAACTGAATTCCTGATTTCTTTGGTTTCTTTTTAATTAAGTTATCTTGAGAGTAAGGGTTGATTAATTTACATTCTTCTGTGATTTTTATTGCATGAATCTTCTTCTCGGTTGAAAGATTTTCACTCCACGAGTTTTCATTTCTGTCATGAGTTGTTTCAGGTGCAATTTTTATCAATCGATTTAAACGATCCAACAAACTCTTATCACTCATTTTTACTCTTTTTTTATCTAACTAAATAAGTAAATAAACAACCTTCGAAAAATAAAATTGTCTTTGCAACTTCCTTCAATTCACTGCGTTTGTCGTCACATTCTTCATCACACCATCCGTCAGAGTCTCGGGATCAGACAGCACTGAAGACAGAAGAATGAATCCAAAAAAGAAAAAGATTTTAAAAATAGTTTCGTTTTCATTTCTTTTTTAGCTAAGAGCGTCGCAGGGTCGCCGTGAAGCAAGACAGGAAATCACGTTCAACAACGCATGGAAACGAAGAACATCACTGCTTTTAAGATCGGGTTAGATGCATGGAGTTGGAGATTATTTTTCTCTTTCAGTTTTCTTATTAAGAGATAAAAAAATTTTCACGAATCATTTTCCACATCGCTTTGAACTCGTCTTTTGTGTTATGAAAAAGGCAAAAATGTTTCCATATGGTTTATATCCAATTGCACCGATACTTCAATCTTAGATATCTACTATGTTTACAGCTTATGAATCACACGCATTATCAACTTTTATTCAGCCTTCTATGTTAGAATTTCCCTTTTTTTTAACAAGTTCATTCAACTTTTTACAGTGATTTAATATGAACAGATGTAGGGGAAATCTTGTAGAACTATCATCAACATGATAAAGTCACGATGAAAACACTTCACTTTGAATTAAAAACAGACGTTTTCTAAAGTCTACATATTTATCTATAGTCTAATAATTACCTTGCGGCTTTTATGCCAAACCTTCACACGATAAACTTTCCGTTTTACTGACTGGAATCTGTTGTTACAAATGACCCAGAAAGAATGTTTTCCTTTATTCTCTTCCCTTGTTGCTACGACAACCACGTTTCTCCAAGCGCCGCTCTCCAGAATCCCAAACATGAGTTTTATGAAGGGGAGAAATTTATTTTTATGAATGAATCTTTTTGACTTACTGAGAATATGTAAGAAAAATAAAAAGCGGAACGGCAACTGTCGAAAACATTCTCAATCAAACTGCTGATGATTTTCTACTAAATACAAAGTAATCAGCTTTGAATTAAACTTTCCTCTATTTCAGTTACTAAAACTTAGCACGACAATACTTCAAAGTTCAATTTTATTACATTTCTTCCTTTTATGGACACTTCAAGATCAATCAGTATTCATGCTAAGTAGATATTTATTACCTATTCTGCTTTGTATGCGCGAAAAGTAAATTATTCAATCAAATGTGATGAGTTTCATAATTCTATTGTTTTAATAAATCGTTAAGCGCCTCTTTGACTATCTAGATTTAAAAAGATTTTTAAAGAAAATGTAAGTAATATTATTAGTCACTCTGTCATAAAAAACACCGAGTGACCAACAAACACATTTCCACTTGAATTAACCATCATTTAATTTAAACCACGATTTATATTTAATTGAGAATAAAACGGAATATGTTTTCGATTGCTGAGAAGATTTGCAAAATTAAATTGATAACAAATTCCTTGAATATTTTACATTTTATTTCTATTCTAGCCACAAACACAAATTTAATTGCTTGAGAATATTTTTGACAGTCTCTCAAAATATTTTTTACTAAATTTTCTCAAAATTTGTTTATTGTGGATTAACCAAGTGATTAAACAAGTTTTCTATTGAATAAGTTAAGTTTAACAAAGAAATACTAGACTTTGAGGACGTGAATTACTAAAATCTTTCGGGAATTCCGAACTTTAATGGTTGTTTGGTATGTGTTTGTTACTTTCGCAAATATTTTAATTAATATAAATATGTTTACAATAATAAAGACGCAAGAGGCGCGAAGGCTGATAATCTATCATTTCTACTGAGATTTTCAAGCGTGCGAGAAGTGTTTTTGTATAACTGAGACAATTTTTTTAATCAATTTCATAATAATGAAGTCAATAGGGTATTAAATTTTGTTACATTAAAGTGAATATTTTCAGAAATAAAACTAATGGAATGTCAGAGTTTTCAGGCTATTATCAACTTTAACATTACTGTTGACATTAAGGTACACTTTTTCTATCGCAATCACATGTAAATTTGGTTATCAGGATTGGGTTGTGATTGGGAATGTCTACACATGTGATGTAAAGAACCTTGACAATCGCGAGATTTTGGCTAATGTGACTGAAATAGAAGGAACTCATCTTGATGAAAAAACCAATAGTGATGTAAGGAAAATTAATATTAATCTGCAAATGTGCCAATTCCTTCCATTTGGATTTGAAAAATTCTTTCCAAACATTGAAGGTACGTTCGAAGCATTGTAATTTGAAGTTAGTTTTAAATTCAATCTTATTGAAGGTCTACGAATTGCTCACTCGAATCTCGTGTCATTAACGCAATCTGATATCAGCGTTTTCCCAAAGTTACGCAGTGTTGACATCTTCAATAACAACTTAAAATGGTTGGACGCAGATGTTTTCGAGAAGAATCCAGAAATTGAATATTTGTACTTTGGTGATAATCAAATCAAAAGCATCGGTTATGATGCGTTGAAACCTTTGAAAAAGTTAAAACATGCAGTGTTTCACTATAACGTTTGTCTCAAGAAAAATGCAATCGGAGAAGAAGAGATTCAAGCGTTGCAAGAAATCATGAATCAGAATTGTGATCCGGGTCATAAAACGATTGCAACCGAGAAGAAACGGATAAATGAATTAGAGGTGGAAAGAACTTATCAAAAGCAGAAAATCAAAGAACTTGAAGAAATTGTCAAAGTTGAAGATTCACAAATAATGTGGATGCTTTGGATCTTCATTCCACTCCTTGTTTTAGGGATCTTGGCCGCTGTTTATTTCTATAGAAATCGTTCTCCTTATCAAACTAATTCAATATTATTACCGAGATCAAATGGAATTGATATTGAACGATTGGAAAATGAGACCAATGATACAAATGGTTATTCAAGTGGTGCAACAAATCTAATATAGAACCTGAAACATGCACTTTAGTGATTAAGTTTTTCTCAACTTTAACAATTTATCAATTTATTCATAATTTCAAAAATTATTATGTTAACTTAAAATATTTAATTTGTGCACTTGAACGAAAAATCGAGCAAAAGAATTCAAAGGAAAATAACTTAAGATGAGTTAGAAAAGATCAAAGGTAGCAGAACTCGGCGGAAGTTAACACTTTTCATGTTTAAATCAAAAGATGTTGAAGATTATTTTTCGAATAAAATGTTTAATCAAAATTCATTGTTTAACAGATTTAATTCTACAAATCTTCTGACTCATATTGACACATGCTTCTGCACACACAATGATTGATGCTAAACATGCTTCTGATTTATGTTCATCTGTATAATTTAAATTTGATTGTGATGGATTACGAAAATTACTCATTTGTGATCTTTGAATATATTTAAGAAGATTGAAAATTATTCGAATGATTTCTTTTCACTTTATTTTAAAATCATATTTTATGTTTATTACTAATAATAAAAATGTTTGTATAAAGTATCATCGTTAATATTCCTTTCAATGAAGTAGAGAAATTCTATTTAGGTATTATCATCATGATCATGCTAGATTTAAAATTCAGAGTATCGTGCTCAAAATGGAATTAGAGAACTTTAAAATAAGTTATTTAAAATAAGTTGTATGAGCTTTTCACACAATTCGATATTAAATAAATAAGTGAACAAAGGAGCTTATAAGATAATTTACTACAGGTTTTATTAGAAAAAGAATATTTAATGGGAAATCGTTGAATAATTCTAAAATTTTATATCTTGAAAACCTCACAAATGTATGAATAACATTTGTACAGATTTCAAAAGCTTAAAATTCTCTCAGAAAGCTTTCAGTTTTTTCAATAAAGTTTCAAAAATGTGAAAATTTGAGAACAGTAATTTGCAATATGCTAAACAGTATAATTTATAATACTGTCCAAGTTCAGCTCCAGCTCATCATAAATTTTCATTTCGTTTTTCTGATTTTTATGCTTATTCATGCGTAATAACGAATCTTTAACCTTCATAAATACACTTTCAATATTTTAGCACTTCTATATTTGCGACCTGGTACGTCCTGTGGATTCTCAGTTTGAAGTTTTATGGAAGTGAAGTATAAACAATTGAAATCAAATACAGGGTAATAACTATTCTGTTGATAACTATGGATGTACAACATTTATCGGATATACACAATAAATAAAAAGTATCCTCTTTTATCGTTTAATAGTTTAATAGTAAAGGTTTCATTTTATGTATGATATATTAGAACAAAGGTAATATAAAAGTAAGTTGGATTTAGGTTATTCACCTGACAAATAAAAAATTAAATAGAAAAGACTTTCCGATGTTTTGAAAATATTTACATAAATATAAGTTTTACGTCCACATCTATTAAATCATTCATAAATGTTTGAAACTTTTTAAGTTTGTCTAACAGTTTTTGATTGTAGAGACATAAAAGCTTTCCTTTGAAACTTCTCCTTTATTGTTTTTGCATCGTTGATTCTCAACTGTTTTTAAAGTTCTTCCGCAAAAGTGAATATTCTGTTCATACGCAGATTCAGTTCTATGGCGATAACTCAAAGTTATAAAAATTCTTAATTATGTACTTTTCAAAATGTTTTGAGTTTGAAAAGTTCGAAAAGAAAAAAAGTTTATCAAAGTTGGAGGAAAATTTAAAATTTGTAGCTAGGTCAGAGAATATATTTGTAAATATTAAAACTTTATAAATTTAATAACAGGTGAATGTTCCTAACAATTTTTGGAAATATTTATTAGTAAACAATCCTGAATTTATGTAGGTTCCATCTTTTATGTGTATTGAAATAGGAAAGTGTTGAACCAAACATTGAACTGAGATAAATCTATTTATTGTTTACTATCTATTTTAAAATAGTATTAAATGTTTTTCTTCTTTCTACTTGTATTTAAAATAATCGATGAAAAAAACATTTTAGATAATTTTATAACTTTTTTTTTGTTATGTATTCTGACCGATATCATCAAATGATTTTTCAATTCGTGATTACCCATAAATTGGTAGAAGTTACGATAAAGTGAATATAATGTTGCTGAAGCACAAGTTTGTGGCGTTTTAGGGTATACAAAATTAAGGAAGAAATTGCAGATGAGCAAAGACCTTTGTAGCATTACAAATTCGTTTTGGTTCACAATGAATAAAATCTGGAGCAATAAAATGATTAATGAACCCTGAATAAATACAAAAAAGGCATTTGAATCTGAAAGCTTTTCATTATTTAATTGTAAATAAATCGTATGTTTGAGAAAAGTAAATTTCAGTTCGTTGATAAATAAATCTTAAAAGAAACTCAAATTAATTTACTCTCATTGTATATAAATCAGAAATAAATTACGTAAAGGTAATATTGATTTAGGACAACTTTTAAATTTTAAAATGTTGAGCGTAATTAGTAAACGCAATCAGAAAAAGCTTAAAATATAAAGTTGTAATCACACAAATTAATGATATTTGAATTCAAATCTGAAGTCTAATTATATCACAACTCGTTAACTAAGTGGCATGATGATGACATAAAAATTAAATCAGATGGTTATGATTGTCATTTTGAAATCCCCATTGGGCACTTGTTAGTTGTCACAATTACTTCAGCAATTGCCCATTTTCATTTGTTCACGTGTTTGTTTGAAAACCAGTAATTTTCGCATTGTAAGCAATTTATCCATCGTTGACCCTTTTTTCAAAGTTATTTTTACAAAGTTGTCTAACCAAAATATCTAAATTTTTCGAAAATGATTAAATTGTAAAGAAATCCACAAAGAAATAGGAAAAGTTGGAAAAATATTCGAAGAATTGGTTTTCTTATCCCGATGGAAAGTTTTCTCACCACTTTTATTGGCTTATGAATGAGAAAGAAAAAATTATATAAAATATCTCAGCAAATATTCGAAATAATCTAACAGAAGCAGAATTTATTCAGATGTTCTTGAATATTCACATTCAAATGGTAAACATTTTTTATATCGTTCTTGGAATGTTCGTTTGGCGTGAACTGAAATTGGTTTTGTTTGATTTGATTTTTGATTACTTTAAGGATTTTGTTATCAGAGCATCTTCAATATTTATGATATCATGGGGAATGACTATTTCAATATATTAATTTTTAATCAGAAAGAAAAAAAAAGAAAAGCTTTCAATTCTTAAGAAGTTTTTCGTATTGTGAATTGAATCGCAATTTAAAGGTTCAATAAAACTTCAATCAAATTCTTTGAATTGTTAAAATGACATAAATTTTGAGTGAAATTCATCAAATGAACATATGAAAATTGCTGGCAGCATTTGAAAAGTAAAAGCACATGATTTGACTGTCTCAGAAGATTTTTCGACTTTTATTTGAAAGATATTATTACTGAATAATAAAGTTTGATATTAAAACATTTCATTGATGTTGCAATGAAGTTTTCATAAATTTTTATGAATAATAAGCATTTAATCGTAACTATTGCAATAAATCAGAATCCTCATATTTTCATGACATTCAAAAGCGTACGAATTCTCATGGATTCCAAAGTCACATGGCATGAGTGAATATTTTCATTCCCCCAACGGTATTGTTCAGCTTTCTATTGAAGAATTAATTACCTTAATTTGTACCCAAAAGGACGCATCGTCATTTCTATACAAACTTCCTCTTACTTTTCATTCCCAATTCAGAAATCTCATTACTTTTGAGAGAAGTGCGTAGATATCTATGGAAAATGATTTGATCAAAACATTATTGGTGTGAGTGAATTAATTTCCTTCATTTAAAAGTCAATATTTTCATTTGAAAGTGTTGATAAGGTAGCACAGTTTGAAGGAAAACACAACGATACGATCCAAAAACAGTTTTTTTGGCAAAGGCTTTAGATTAAATCCATCGAATCAAATTTTATTCTTTTTTATTCTTCAAGGATGTCGAGGTTTTTGAACGATCATAAACCTTTTTCCACAATGTCATTTGATTGGGATTCTTGTCTTTGTGCTGGTATTTAGAGGACTAAACTATTTTTCGGTCGACCTTTTTTACGTTGTCGGATGAAAGGTTCGCATAAAAAGAGTCTATCTGACTCAAAGTCAGACTCAAAGCATTTCAAATAAGCTTGATTTTCATGTGAAATTTGATTAAATTTGTCATTCGACGAAATTGTAGTCTCATTGGGTTACTATAACGATAAAAGCGTCAATATCAGTCGCGGCAGACTTCTTTATTTCTGTAATGGTATATTCTAAGAGAGGTTTGGGATGGCAAAGACGTTTTCAAACCTACGAGGAAAATTTCTTTCAAACAAGAAGAAAGGAAAGAAAATTTTAAAATAAAGTAAAACGAAGTTACTAAGCAAATAGAAACAAATAGCTTGAAGTACCTTTAAAAGATGATACTGAAGTATTTTATCACCGGTTTGGAATTTATGATTGTTTATGTTACATTGAAAAAGAAGTCGAAGGAAATCTCTTCTTACTTTTGAAGATTAATTACGTTTTAATAAGTATCGCTAATGATGAAACGGAAGAATCGAGAAATTTAATTGGGGAGATTGAAAATCTCTCTTGAGAAATCAGGTAAATCAAGAAGTCTGGAAAATATCTTTTGATCAAAAACAACTCTGGGGCGTAAAACAAATTAAGTAAGTACCTAAGTATTTTCATTTTCGTAAGAAATTTTTGATAAACAACTTAAGAAAGGAGATATTTATAGAAAGTACAGCAAATTTAGTTGTTTATGTGAAATGAACTGTCGTTAACAGCTATTTAATGAACTTCACTTTCATGAATATTTTCATTGAATTAACTCATTAACATCACTATAAACATTCAAGAAATTCTATTCAATGTAATGGGAGTAATATGAACATAACAACAAAACAATTCGCCAAGATTTATATTTCGAAATTTCGCAACGGGTACGAAGAAAGAGAAATTAATTACTACTGACAAAGTTCTTTTCATTTATAATTAGTTCCCTTTCCTTCGTAACAGCTGACATTTACTATTCTAATAAATGTGATTACTTTATTGTATTAATGTCAAGAGACATGAAAGCACGCCTGAGACTCTGTTCTACTTACATCTAAATATTTAGTGGACACACTTTCATTCATTTATCTAGCTTATGACATGAACGAGAGGTCAACGATACACGATACAAAGTATTTAGTAGATATTTTTATTTGAAAACAACAATCTTTCTGTTCTCTTTTCACATGCATTCAACATATTCAACATAGACAGCTTGTATTATGTTCCACAACGACACGCAAGTGTACAATATCATAAAAATCGATAAGTTTATTACTGAAAATGCAATCAATGTATATTCATGATATTGTAGGACGGACATAAGATCTGATAACGACAGCTGAGCTGAAGGAAATTTGATTTGCGATGCTGTCATCATCATAGCATAAAAAGTGAAGGAAATTTATTGACTACACTTCTGATGGATAAACGGATTAAATTTTCTTCTTCACATGTTAAGTATTGAGATTGAAAGCGCTTTGAGAAGCTTTGTAGCAAATAAATAATTTACAGAAGCTTTTCTTTTGAGACGCCACACTCAATTTATATTTACAGGGCAAATCAAGAAAAATCCTTGAAATCAATTCCAAATTGCGTAATTCAAGAAACGACCTTTGTAGTTTCTAAAGAATAAAATTCGAATTTATTTCATTTTGCATTATGTTGATGGACGGGCATGATGAGAAATTTGAGCTTTTAAACATTTCTCGTATTTCATCCACCTCGAGTGATTCTTATGTAACACTGCATAACTCAAATGAGGAGAGAACTTTCCACTTGCTCTACAAACTCGATCTGTAAATCATAAATCAAATTAAATCTGCTTTTTTCCTGAGTAATGAAATAGCAGAAAAGAATGTCGCTTTATCCTATATTTCCATTAAGCTTCATAATTCACAATTCTCTCCCAACTGCTACCACGAAATTGATTGTCTTTGTAAGCCCACAAGAACGATTCCATGTTAAACCATTCTGCAAATAGTTTATGTTAAATTTTGAAAGCCATTATTGTTGAAAAAAATTGTTGGAATGGAAATTGTTGTTTTTTTTTCATTTTCTCTTGATGATAACAGAACAATGTCAGTTTGCGTGTGACATTTCATCATTTCTCATTCGCTATCATAATGAATCTCAGTTGATGTTCATGACACCCTTATGGAAGTGGTAATATTTACTCCGTTTTCACTTCTGCTTTAGCTATGCTTCAACCTACAGATTTATTGCAAATTGCAGCCCACATACTAACGACAAGCATCCGTGAGATAAAAACTTTGTCACTAATGACTTGGGCAATTTATTTGCGATATGAAAACAATCGTTACGGATGATGAGTCTGCTTGAAGTGCCTTGAATGCTTTGAAAGTAATCTCTGGCTGTTGAAGCAAGTCATCCACATCCTGTCAATATCAAGTATTTCACTTGAGAAATTCTTGATAAGGGAACAGGTCAAATTGCAGAAAAACCTTCCAACATGATGTTTGATTCAGAGATTTAGTAAATGCTTTTGTGTTTCTGTACTTTCCGCTTCGATTCATTCCATAATCCCAGGAAAATTAATGAAACGAAAAGAAGAAGCTTGACTGTTTTATGAGTAAGTAGAAAGATAGAAAATGAAAACTTTTTCCATCGAAGCTTTCATTTAAGTGAAGCCTCAACTGAACAACGTTAATCTTGATAAATTATAAATGAATTTAAAACATGAATTTTGTCAGATGAAGAAGTCTTGAATACCTGAAAACTCGTCCTTGTTAAAGGACTTTCAATGATGATTTTTAAGTTTTTTCGATGAATGTTTCAACGCAAGAAAACATGATATAAAGTGTTCCATTATATTTCATTGTAGTCATAAGAGATTTGAAAAAGAAAGAAATGACGTGTAGCAATTGTCGACAAAATTTATTGTTCTCGATGGACTTGACGTGTTCGCGCATTTTCAAAGAATATAAAAATAGAACACAATGATTTAGCTCAAAAACGTTCACCGCAAAAAATCATTGAATCATTGACAGATTATGAAAAAAATATGAGAGTCGCCATGTGCTTTGTTCGATAAGGATTAATTGAGATTATAGACATTTCACCCTACAAACCAAACCAATTTTATATTCAGCTTAGCGTTGGTGGCATAAAATGATTGAAAAGCCTCGCAAAACCTTCTATTCTGCGGTCATTAAAATTTAATAATCTGCGAAAACGAAAATGATTTAACATGACAGTAATTTTAGGTAATTTTTCAATTTTAATATTAAATACTTCTGAGCTTTCGTATTAATGTCAGAGTATCAAGGGAATATAAAAAAATTTATTATTCTTTTTCCACCCTTCTTTCAATGGCAGAAAACGTTCATCAAGCTAAAGTTCTCATTAAATCAAAGTTATGTTTGGAAATTTCGTCACGGGGGATTTTGAAGCAGGGTGAAAGTTATTACCAACTGTTAGTCAAATGTTATCGTTATGGAATCGTCCCTTACCCAGCAAACATTCCATTCACCCCATCACAATAAATTTCTAGATTGACATTGAAATCCCTCGCCTTCATTTATTTCACCCTTCTTTGAATATTATTCAAACAAGTGTTTCCGTTTTTGCTGTGATGCAAGTGAAATTTACGGAAAATATAAAAATCGGAAAAATACCTTTACGTGCACTGGTTTCATGGTGACTGGCATCATGTTTATGAAGTTCATAACGTTGAAAACAGAAATTATATTTTAGTTAAAAACATGAGACTCGCATACATTTGATGTAATGAAAACGAGAAGAAACTCTGACATGCAAATGACTGAAGGCTGAGTAAAGGAAATCTTTGAAGAATCAACCCGGCAACGCTTGTTGCAACTTGAGAGTTCTTTTTATTACATTCGTGCATGCCTTGACTCCTTAATGGTTTCTTTTTCGCAAAAGGAGGGTTCAAATTGTTGTTAATGGAAATTTCTCAAGTTTTGTGAGATTGAATTGCTTGATGGAAATATTTATAGTTTTTCGCAGATGTTGAGACATCATTTGAAGAGGATCCTTTGAAAACTAAACATCACTTTTTTCCTTCATCAGTTTTATCCCCTCACAGAGTTATCCATTCTCTTGTTGTCATGGAAATTTCCCGACAAAACTTCAGAAAGGTAGCGAACAAAATAATCGTCTTACAAGTGATATCGATTTTTTTTTTCTTATTTATCCCTCGTTAAACTTTTCTTCGAGTTTGATTACTGATGAAAAACTCTTCAATTCATCCTTTCGCTTCATAAGTAATTCGCAATCAAACTTCAAACCGATTAATTTGTCCCATTTGTTTATCTTTGAGTAAAACGAAGACAGAAAAGCGGAAAACTTTTCACATGCCATAAATTTAAAGATTGAATTTGGAAGGAAAAGAGAAAGAAAGAAAGTTATGAAAAAATTTGTTCATTTTTATATCAAAAGAAGTCTGAAGAACTCAATAAAAGTTCTTTCTTTTTGTCGTGCGACTCTCGATTATAATTCATTATTGCTTTTCAAGATAAAAACTTTTCTCCATGTTTTACAAACAAAAATATAAAAAAGATTGAAACTGATTTGTCTGATATTTTGGCAAATAAAAAAGATTTAGAAAGTAATTTAGAAGTAATTAAAAATTAAACTCTCGTTCGTTTGCTTCAATGTAAATTAATCATGTGCAGAAAAAGAAAAGTTTTTCAATATCAATTTGAGATTCAATGAAAATTTCTTTTTACTGTGTCATTCTTTGCATTTTATTTTTGTCTCGTTTGAGACATTAAAGTCAAGCAAGTCATGTACTTTCATTCATCTTCCGCTCTCAATCGAATAGAGTTCTGATAAATTAATTTAATTTACATTCACTAACATAAAATATGTATAAAACTTTGGTTTTTTGCTTCCTTCTAATATCCGTCGAACATTATCTTGAACTTCCATTCCATTTTCTTGTTTAATATAAAACATTCAATCCATTGAATCTCAATATTGTATCCATTTGAATGGGCTAATGAAAAAGGTTTCAATATGATGCGATTTCCTGTAGAATTTCCGCTGTCTAGAAGCATTTCAAATGAGATTTAAAGTTTCTCCTCTCGAGTTCTTGTTCTTCACTTACTATGCACAGCATCATTAGAATCATTCAAAGATTTATGTTCCAAGCACTAACGCCTGTAATTGAAGTTCATGGTTATTTTATTGAGACTTTTATTTGCCACCTGAGTCTCTATAAAATTGGCAAGGATTAGAAAATGAAGAAGCTGGAAAAATTAGGAGAACTGCTAGGGTTCAACTCACAGCACAGCCTCAACATATTTTGTTTTATGTGTTTGGGAAATTAAATATCTAAGTGGATAAAATTTTCCGTAAAGATTCATTCATGTGGTTTCATTAATCCATTTGAATGTCAAGGCCTACATAAATTATGCTTTCCATTCTAATCCCTCCCTATTTTATTATGCTGAAACGCCACTATTAATGTTACATGAGAATCTTCACGAATATCCTCCGGCTGAAGTTGGTAATTTTAAAAGTACATACTTCATCCATTACGTGACATAGAAGACTACTGCAGCATGAGTGAAATCAAATCTAGATTCGAAAGACATCGTATTTTAATGACCTAATTAAAAGTTTCAACATGCGGCAAAAGAATTCATGGAAGTTCTATAATGATGACATTCAAGTTTAAGTGAATGATGATGAGAGTTGTTTTCAATGTTATTTTAGCATCTAAACTAGGTCGACGCCATAAAAATCTTAGGAGGCGCAGACGAAATGAAAGACTCTCCCGACAATAATCTCAAATATTATGCGACTTTAGATTCGTTTGATATTTTTCTGACATCACGATAAGAAACGAAAACACATTTGGAGACGACTTTGTCTCCTTTTCGGAAGACTTATTTCGAGTGAGAAGAAAGAATGTTAGTAAAGAAGAATGAACATTTATTTGACAACAGAAGCAAGGATATTAAGAATAGGAAAAGAAGATAATCAGCTGCGTTATTCGACAAGGAAGGGAAGAGCAATGTGGCTGAATATCAAAGCACGCGCTTTAATTTTAATATTGAATCTGAAAGAGAATAACAGAAACCAAAAGAATTTTCTTTTGTACGATGAAAAAAGCAAACAATATGACGGACATGTTTAAGGATAAAACGTCGGAACGTGACTAGAATGTTTTCAAATTCTTTTCTATGTTTTTGTGTTGATGGAATCTTATTCATTTCTTTCAAATAATTGCTTTATTTATATGTCTCTCGACAAGGAAAGTGTTTTTGTATCATGATGAGAATTTACAGACTTGTTCAATCATCCTCGCAATCATCTTTAAATGAAATTAAACCCTCGCTGATAAATGACTTTTGCTTGCGTGAAAGTGTTTGCTTTTCTTTTTGACATCATAAACAGACATTATCAAAAGGTTGAAATTAATTGAAATCAATTATTGTTGCCATGATCAAAGAACTTGAAAATCATTTTTGTTCTTAAGACTTTCGAGTTTCTATTTCAATTTCAGCTTTATTCTTCAAATTATTCCATCTACTTACTTACCATGCCATTAGTTAGAAGTTCCATGCCAACGATAAAATAAAACGTCTGCAAAGAATGTTATAAGTTAAGCTGCAAAGCAATTAAAATATCATCGACAGAACAAATATTTATTGTCGTCAAAATCAGTTTGGGATTGTTCAAATGGAAAATGTCACAGCATACATTTTTTAATGTTATTTATGGAATAAAAAATCTATTGTGAGCTGGTGCATGAACAACTCCCGTTAGTCTACAGACAAATGTTTATTCTACAAAGTTAAAGTTAAACTAAGAATTAAATAAAAAAGTTAAAGAAATTAAAATTTACGAATGTCTTCATAATTTCAAGCGTTGTTCTTCTTCATCATCACTTTCATCATCGTCATCGTCGTCGTCATAGTTATTTGAAAGTTTGATGGGAATGTTTGGTGATTTTGAAAATATAATTTCCTCACTTTCCTGCAAAAGTTGGTTGTATGAATATTTGTTTGAGAAGTTAGTGTCACGATCTTGTTGTGACGTTTTGACGAAATTATATTTTCTGCACAATAAGTAAATGGAAATGCATGTAATGAATAACAAAACACCGATTGCTAAACTTATGAGAATAATTTTCAGTGTGGAATAATTTCTGAGCTCATTTTCGATGCTTTCAAGGAGTGAAGTTGTTGTGTTGTTCATTTTACGAACGCAATTGATGTTCGATCCGATAATAATTTGATTATAGTTTTCATCACAAGACACGCAATCACTGTCTAACTCTCCAGTACATTTTAAACATGATTCATGACACGATCCACACATTTTTTGATTCGATGCAAGCATCACTGCTCGGTTTTCAACGAGAGATTCGCTGCGACCTAGGATGTCACTTAGATTATCGAACTCATCGACATTCATTCCACGTTTCCGTAACGATAAGCCCTTTGATCTAATGTTACTAGTAGATACTCTCTCGGGGACAATAAATGTTCGCTCAGGACATTCATCGAAGCATTTTCCAGCGAAAAGAAACGAGGATTTGCACTCTGGAATCATTCAGAAAACAGAAGAAAAAAATAATAATAATAAAAAGATAAAAATGCAAAACTGGTTGTAAATATCGCAGCATATGTTTGAATATTGAGTGACGCAATACAATATAGCAATATGATGGAATCATAAAATATTCAGTTGGCTCTTTCGTATATTATTTTCCAGCTGTCAAATCTTTTAGCTTTAAGCCAAGAACAATCAGGAAAACATTCTAAAAGCAAAACATTAACAAAGAAACAAAAGCAAAAACAAACTTTGAAATCTCGAAGCAATTTCCGATATTTTGTAAGCTTCTTTAAAGCGAAAGCTTTTATGAAAACAAGCTTTAAGATGAAGCTTTCAGAAATTGTTTTCTTTCTTGCAAACATAAATAGACATATTTACTTGTTTGATGTAGAAATATTAATTATAATATGAATTAATGCGTGTTAAAATTTAATATACTTAACTGTTAATTTTCTCTCATAACTTACTACTAATTACAATTAAAATTGGATTTGTTAACTGAAACAATGTTAAAAATGTAATGAAACCTTCACCTACCATTTGAACCGTAAATTGTACTTAATCAACATGTTTGTAAGCAAAACTACAATTGTAAAGCAGAAAAATGAAATTAAGTATATAAATAAATAAAATATTTGTTTCATTATTAGATATCAAGCAAAAAACAGTTGGTTTCTGTAAGTTTGTTTTCTCAAAACGTTCATTCTTGTTTATTATCTTAATTCATGTTGAAAATGCTGTTTGTTTTATAAATTTATTTCATTTCATTTATTTTAGCCACGAATGTCATCAATATTAGTTTTTAATTTTTAATCTCATTCCGAATCGAATTTTTTTCTACAATTTTTCGTTATCTATCTATTACTAAAAATATATTTCGTAATAAACTTACATGTACAAGTTTTAAATTATGTTACTAAGTTCTAATTTATTTATACACTTTTTAAACTTTCATTTGGCGCATAAACATTGATTCACACAAATTTTTTTTAACTTTACTAATTTTTTTTCTTTTTGGTAAATTTTTTATTAAGTTCAACTTAGAATCAGATTTGTGCTGTTTGCGTGTGAATGTTCAGGTGTTTATGCGGTAAAGTTAAAGACAGAGTGGAAAAATGAAACATAAATCGTAATGTTTATAACTTCTTGTGTATTAAGTTCAACTTTCTTTCTCCAACTTTTCTTTATTACGTTGAATAAACAAAAAAAAACTTTTATTTATTTATCTCTGTATAATTTCATTTTTTATCATTTTTTTTTTGGATTGTTGAGTTTTAAATACAAACTAAATTATTATACTTTTACATTTTATGTTGCTTTTGCTTCACATTAAAACAGTTAATGGGTAAAGCTTAAGATAAAATTAAAAGCTTTATCAGGTTAATGAAAAAGCTTGACGGATTATAATGATTATGTACTTAGAATGTTGAATAAAAGTAAAATTATTGTTTTTCTTAGCACCAGTAAAATGAAAGAGAAAAGGAGGAAAAAATCTTTTTCTTTTGTGATTAATTTAAAGTTTCTTTATCTGAGTCTATATGTAGCTTTAAATAATTATTCAGATTTCTAACATTTTTTTCACATACGGCAGTTTTTCTACGCTTTTGGTTGAGATAAACAAAAACATAAAAATGCGACAAGATAGAAAAAATTGTCATAGAAACAAAAAAACGGATACAAGCTAGAATTACAACCGTTTCAACATAAGTAATTAAGTCTTAAATTGTGTTCACAAAAACGAATGAAGAAATTATCACATGTGGGAAATTAAACGATTCAATAAACTAGTCAACATGAGAAAAATGTTTAATTCGTGATTCAATCAATTGCTTTGAAATGATATTGTATAATTTTATATTTGATTATATCTCATGTAAATAAATTACCGAGTAACTTTATGTTCACTGATTAGAACAAAGACAAATAGTAAAAGAGAGAGAGAGAATAAGAAATTAATCAAGCTACCTTAATTATTGTCAACAAATTGATATGTTGAAATGAAATAAATAAGCTGTCATCAAAGTCAACTCTTTAAATCAATGAAGCGATAAAATAAGATCTTGATAACACACTTAATCTACTCACATCCGTAAAGCTTCTTCAATGTGATATGACGTGAATGGAAATGAAATTCTTCGGTTTGATATTGTGAAAGTTATTTATGAAGAATAAAAAAAGAAAGAAAAACCTAAGGCGGCATGAATAGAACCGCTTGATTTCACAATAACTTGCTGTTGATTAAAGCATCCTTTCGAGAACTCAAATTATGTGGCTTCCTTTTGAGAATTTGTCAAACAAAGGAAGTCAAATGAATGTAAGATTATGAGGAAATTTATGTGAAATTGTGAGATTATTCTTGTGACAATTACGTGAGTTAAAAATTAATTGCACTTTTCTTATCATTCAAGATTGTGATGATAATTTCAACACATTTATGCACATCTATAAGTATTCTGATTGCATTCTATTCATCTCGAAAACGAATGAGAGAGCTTTGAATAAAATTTTTCTTTCAATTTCATTTTGAAGTGGAACAAGCTTCGCATAAACTTTTTTTATTGTAACATTTCATGAGTAATGTTTAATGTTTTTTTGCTTCTGAAAACAACACGCATCCGAAAGGAAAAAGGAAAACTTTTTTTATATTAATGTCGATAGCTTTCCGACTTGCAATAAGCATTAAAAAGTTTTATTATAAAGTGTTCATGATTGAGTTTTGAAAGTTTTCCCATCGTATTTCATGAAATCTTAACTCACCAATTTATAACTAAAGCGATCATGAAAAGTCATTCGGTTGAAAGAAAATTTTCATGTCAATGTTCTCATAAAGAAAAAAAATAAAAGTTTCGGTATGTATCTAATCATGTGTCATTAATCCTTCGATCTTCTGAACGTCTCATAAAATCAGAAGAATAATTAAATTGAAACACATCAAATCACTTTTTCCTTTGAATTATCTTTAGATACTTAACTTTAATTTGATTTAACTTATCTCGTTTTGTCACATATATGAATTAAAATGATAATAAATAAGCACAAACCTAGACAATAGTTTTTATTGAAATCGGAATATCTTTGACAAGATGAACTGGTCGTGCGGTCTCTATCTACAGTTCGTTGAACATCTAAGTGAGCGTCAGCATCAGTCACCTATGAATAAATGAATCATCATGAAATTAAGGTGAGTATTGACCTTTTTTCTTCTTTTTCTTGTTAATACATTTAAGAAGAAGGAAAAAAACTTACGTCTTGCGTTATAAAGCCCCACTGTGAGTTTTCTAGCGAGTTATGGACTAAATCATTGACAGTCTTCTTCTTTCCTAATCGTGGCGGATCGTTTTTCTGGGGAGGGTCGTTTGTACCATGAAATATTAGATTCCATTGAGTTATCTGAACTGCGAAAAGCCAAAGAAATAGAAGACAAAAAGTTAACGATAAATAACAGATTTTCATTTTCTTTATCAGAAAGCAATCGAAAAGGTCATCCACATGTTCTGTTGTGTCACTTTTATGTAGAGAGATACAGAAGGAACCAATGGAGATCACAATGTCTCCAATGAATAGAATATCATCTATCTAAAACTTCCTGACATATCAAAGACTTTCATGGGACTGAAATTTTTCTTTTGTACAATATTCTCATCGACATGACACACAAAAACATGACGACGACCTTTTAGATACGATAAAAAGATTGAGACCATGAAAAATTAACCCAAAATATTTTCTAATTAAAATTTTAAAAGATGAGATTTGGTTAACCGAAAATTTGTGTACACGTTGGTTTGTTTGAAGATTAGACAAAGTCTTGGAGAATGGAATAATGTTCATGGAGAATAGCAATTATCATTTGTCTTTGAGTGCTTTCTTGTTTACAAACACATTTGTATCAACAAAGCTATTGATTTTGATATGTTTGTCGACAATCACACGACACAATTGGATAATAAAATATGATAATGCTATACGATTCCGCTACGGTTACATGGATGGAGACGGAAAGAAATCATTCATTCGCACAACATTGTTACAGCTTTTTCTTCAACCGTCTCTTCATGCCATTGTAACCATAACTTGTACATTCGAATCGTAACTCGTTGGAGTGTAAAACATAAAACGGCTTTTCCGAGATGAAGAAAACAGGGAAACACATTTAAATGAAGAAACTGAAATTCTTTCGTCGAGTGAAAAGGGAAAACTCTTTGACCTTGTAGAGAACAGAATAAGTAGAAGACAAGTTTGAGACGAATAAATCAATAGGAAAGAAATAATAATAAACGATAATTGTAGATGGAATAAGCGGATTGAAAAATAAAATAAAACGAAATGAAACAAATATCTAACAACAACGACAACAGAAGCTTGAAAACAACAAGTAATTGAGGAAGAAATAAATTAATTTCTTCTACCCTTTCCATCTTTTTCCTTAGCAGCTTGAGCGATGACTTGTTGGGGTGTCATTGTCAATATATCACTTGGACTATTTTTCTTTTGAGGTGCGGAATTCATCGACACCAATCCACTACTAAATGACTTGGAATTTTCTCTTGATGGTTTTCCATTTGTGACAGTGAAATATGTGGGGCTGTTATTATCCTTGTACGGTTTAAGTTCGGGATAAATTTGTTCAATTTTCTCATAGCGTTCAAACATTTTCGACATTGGACTAAGAGTTGATGATGGAATTGTCTCTTTGACTTGCTTTGGCGCTTTGCCAGGTGATTTTTCGAAGATATTTGAATTTGCTGGTTGAAGCTTATCAGCATGTGAACTAAATAAATTATTTTTACCACCACTGTAGTCAAACTTCACCGGAGTTATTCTGGCTGTCGTTCTTGGACGTATTGTCGATGTTGGCCGGCCATAATTCGTGCTACTCACACTTTGACTGATTTTCGATTTATTTTTTGTTGATTTAGCACCGACACTGAACTGATTCAGCATGACGGTTGTATAAATAGGTTTCGGCGTAGTCGTCGTTCGTTGATTGTTTTTATTACCCTTTCTATTGTTCTTCTGTTTGCCATTTTTTCGAGCTGGCGATTGTGCAGGCACTGTCGTTGACTTCTGCAACGTTTGCTGATTTCTATTTATGTAAGGATTAGTGGTTCCATAATTATTTGTATTCGGTCGATAAAATGTGTTGCTGTTGTATATTAAACCAGGCATTGATGATGATTGTCGCGGTTCATCATTCTTTTGTGGTGAAATCACAGTTCCATAAAGTACCAGCGTCCAACCGCGAATTAGGGCAAATTCTGACATAATCCGACACAAATTTTCCATTACAAAAGCAGCATTGATAGAAAGAATGAAAGAGTTATGAACGAAAGGGACAGTTTGATTGAGAATTCTTCAACCCAAATGGACGGAAAATCTTTTTTTGTTACCATAAACACTTAACGTATTCCAAAAAGTGGAAAACTTTAAGGACTTCATGAAATTTTCTATTGACTTACCCATATAACGACCCTTGTTGTGAATCTCCAACTCCCAAATACCTTGGGGTGATTCGCCCCATTGATGGACGGTCATGAAAGGCCAATCGTTGAAGCCCGAACGTGAAACATCATGAATTCTAAAGGATAAAAGAATTTAGAAATTGATTCCAATTCTCTAAGCGATGTTTTATCGTTTATAACCTGACATTGCAACTTAATGTCAGAAGTTAAATATTTAATAACAACACGAGAGAAACAAGAGAAAAATAATTTTTCCCCCTTTTCAACTTAACAAATTCATTTTAATTAAAAATATAATGAAAGGAAATTGCATTGAAACTTTCATCTCACCTTTCAGTTAGCAAACACGTCCTCGTACCAGATGGTGATGTTAAATAAATGACGATATCACCACGTCTTTGAGTGGTCAAAGAAATTCTTGCTTGGACGTGTTCCAAGAAATTAACGCCTTTACAATGGTCAACTTTCAATGTGAATGTAACATTTCGTCTTGGTGGAATTGGTCTGGAAATGATCAAAGAATACAAAAATGGAAGGAAAATTCAATTTTAAAACTTTTTTGAATTTCAAATCAATCATCTTACTTGTCCAAGTGGGGCGAATGAATTTCACAGCGTTGTTGTTCAGGAACAGTTTCCCAAACACGTGCCAAGCGAACCTGTGAGGTGAATGAGAAGAAATTAGAATTTCATTTGTATTGTTTCGTTGTAAAAAAAATCAATTTACCATAGCTGCGGCATCCATTAGCCCGTAGCCGAATGAATGACTGACTTTCCTGCCGACGCCATTTGTTGTCCATTCAGTTGGTGATTTGCCCAAATATGCTGGGTTGGCGGTACGTACAACTGTAAAATAAAAGAACAGAGAAAGATTTTACAACATGTCGAAACCAAACAATCATCGTTTTTAATTGCAGAGGTAAACATACCAATATGCTGGAGGTCACGCCACGTTAAATTTGGATTCGCTTCAAGAACAAGAGCAGCAATTCCCGCTGCTAACGGTGCCGATGCTGATGTTCCCGTATGTGATGACGTACACATATGATGTAAGTCAGTTGTCACTACTTGTTTCTCGTTTTGTTGACCGCTGCTGTACGTTGTCGCTAATGTTGAACTGCACTTTTCAGAGTACCATGGAATGTCACCGAATTCAGTTGCCGAAGAAATTGACAATGTCCATATTGAGTTTGTGTAACCATCACAGTTGCAATTATCTTGTTCACGGCCACCATTTCCTGAAGCCCAAATAAAGATGTTTCCTTTGCCGCCACGGCCTTTCGTTACTCCATCAATAAAAGCTTTGGTTGCCATTTCTCCGGGGCCATCGACAGTTTTCCCATCATCATCGGGTCCCCACGAGGCACTGTAAATATCAATATGTTGAGACTTCAACCCAAGCGACGCTGCTTCCACTGCATCTGTTACATCGCCGTCCAACATTCTGACACCTCCGACTTTCGCATTAAAAGCGATTCCAACCGAGCAAAGAGAATTATTGGCAGTGGCTGCTACCTCCCCCGCACATCGTGTTCCATGTCGATTTGAATCTAATTATTATGGACAATGTCATTATATTGTGTCAACCAACACTCAATCATAATCAATCTTACCTGTCAAGTCATAGTGAGGCATGGGATCTGCATCGTGGCTATTTACATCGTAACTTGCTTCAGGATCCTATTAAAAAAATAAGGAAATAAACATTTTATAATCATTCGTTTGAGTTGAAGAAAAGAAAGAAATGAATAAAGAAAAAGTAATTTGTGGAACAAGCCAAGCGGCGTAGAAGTTTTCCAATTTATTGAATTTATATTGTGTAATTTATTTGCTTATTTTCATTTCAACATCGTTGAAGCTTTAAAATTTATTGTTGCTGTTGTTGCTTTTCAACATCTTCGAACACAATAAAAGTCTTATCGAGATATCCTAAACAATCAATGAAAATAAGAAAAAAAAGAGAATTTGACGACAATCTTTTCTCGAGAGTTCTTTAAAAGGCAATTTATAACGCTTGAGAACACTTCTTCAAAACCCGCGTCTAAATGCTCTATTATGGAAATGATATCAGTCAGACTCTCATCTCTTCAGCTGTCAAGGCGAGGAAGGAAGGAAGAAAGCTTGAGGAAACGACACCGAATGAAAATAAAAGTTTTAAGGGAAATTTTATCGGAATTTGAGGCGAGAGAAAGGCTGATTGGCTTATCATGAAGTTCCAGGTTAATCCCAGATTTGGGATTAAAATTTGTTTTTCATTTCAAAAAAAAACTTTTTCAATTGAATGAAAAGACCCGACGAAGTGGGCCAGCGTGAAGATAAGAAGAAGAATGAATGAAGAAAAAATTTTAAGGCGCAGACAAGGGAAGTGATGAAGAAAAAAATATTCTGAAAGTTTTTTCACCCATTCATTCATCAAAGCGGATAAGAAGTCTAATAATCAAAGAAGAGGAAAATAAAATAAAAAAAAGGAAATGATGGGAAAGCTTACGATGAGTTTTAGACTTAAAAAAGAAATTCCAACGATCTTAAATAATCATTGGCGTTGATGAGAATTCTTCGGAAAATTTGTGTTGGTTTCGAGGTTTCCGCCATTCACTCGTAGAGCGAAGCAATAAATTACTTCCATAAGGAATGTGAGGTTTACTTACATAATTCCTTTCGAGATCGGGATGATCTGTCTCCAATCCATCATCAAGAATCGTCACAACAACTCCTTTGCCAGTTATTCCTTCCTTCCATGCTGGTATAACGTTCATATCGTAGCCACCACCACGATTCTATCATCATCATGACATGTAAAAGAAGATTTTAGTTAGATATGCTTGCGTCTTATACTCTGAATTTATTTCATAAAGCCTCGAGTAAAATGAGAAATTGAATGATTATCGCGACGTGTTCTCGCATAAAATAAAGCATTACATGCACATTTTGCTTAACATTAAATAAGAAAAGAACTTTTCTATTGCGGATGTACTCAGTGATTCACTGAAACGATGTTGAGAAGTACAAAAGGGCGAGAAGGAAATTTGATGTTTCTCGATCCGCTGCTTCACTCAAAAGAAAAGAAGCTTGAAGAAGTTCAAATTAGATTTATACAGCAATTTTCAACTTAATAAAAATAAAAAGAAAAATAAATTTGAAGCAGTCTGTTTCGTCCTTTGAATAATGTAAAATATGAATTCATGCTTGGAAATATTTTTACTAGCTTAATGAATGATTGAATTGTGTAACAAATTGAAGTGAACTAAATTGAAATTTCTATTCAAATCGATTTTGAGTAATAAATTCAGTTATTTATCTACTCAACAGACAAACTCATGAAATATTTTCTCATTTAAGTTGAAATTTAATGTTCAGTTGTGCATATGCATTTATTCTTCCGGGAATGTGTATTTTGTTTAATTGAAATTTATAATTATTTACGATCTCATTGAAGTTGATGTAAATGAAAGTTCACATCTGGAATTCTAACTTATCTAATAAAATGTAATTTAATTGAATTTTCATCCTACCAAATACCACATTGACGGCCACTTTGGATCATTTAGAAGCGTTGCCAATGACTTGACTGGTTTCAGTCGTGTGAAGTCTCGCTTTTGACGCGATTTTGCTCGCTGCTGTTTCGACCAGACTACACGTCCATCCTCGTCTAAACGTCTTTGGTGATGATTCGATGGCTCAATGGATCGCTTTGTAAGTGATTTATGTTCGAAATGGTAGTGATCATCAAAAATCTGTTAATAAAAATGCAAATATGTTAAGAAACTTCCATGGAATTTAACTACGATATTCTTTTTTTTTATATTTTATGCAACGATGCGCACATTCAAATGCACTTGGAGTAAATTTGCTTCAATTGAAATTTATGACATTTGAAAATGGGAGAATCCCGAGACACAATTTCACGGAGTGCTGAACAAAACAAGAAAGTTTGCGAGATAATATTTAGATTGAATATTTAAGCGATAACTACATTAATAAAATTAAAGCATTTAACCCTTGAGTATTTGTAAATTATAGTAGATAAAGTTGGTATCATAGAAAATTAATATTAGTGGATTTAAAGTTTAAACTTTAAAGCCTTGCAGGAATATTTAGCACAGCAATGTATGCTGGTAAAGTGAGCGTTTATCAAAAATATTTATAGATGAATCTTCCACGGTATGGTTTATGCTTTATGGTTCGCTTGCTGTGTAACGCTAGAGGTTGAGACTCATAAGCTGTTTATCATGAACGTGAGTAGATTTTGTTTTCTTTTTTTGAATACAGAGGTGAATAAATTCTGCCTTTTTGCCCTTACATTTGTAAGCTACCGCTTCGGAGTCAACGATGTGAAAGAATATTGTATCATATTCCTACAGTTCTTTTCTACTTTCATGTTGTGTTAAATCTATTTGCGAACATAGGTAACCTTTTGAAGTCTTAAATATCATTTCAAACGGGAGAATTCGAGAGCAAAATTACAGGCAAACGTTGATTGTGACGCACCCAACACTCGCATCAATGAAAGTTTCGACACGTCGAGTATTATTCAAGTTTTCATATTTCATGTTCATGATGATTTTATGTGTTTATAAGAAATTCACAGTTGCCTTGGCAATATTTATGAATTGTATTAGCATTCCGAAAGGGATTGCTTGAAAATTAGTTTTGTAAACGTAAATTGCAAATTTTCCCTTCTCCAAATGTTTATGCAAAAATTATTTCTTTATGTATACAATGTTTGGAATAAAGTTTCTGAATTTTATTGCAAATAGCTAAGTTTCTTTAGGTTTTAATTGTTTCTTAAAAGCTATAAAGGTTATAATTCTTGATTTTGGGATGTGCTGACTTAGCAAAGCTAGAAAACTTATTTCTTTTTAGGTCAAGGATAGATTAAATTAAATAAGAAAGGACATGACATGTGCTGTCATGTAATAATGAAACTTTTAAATGAAAAAAAAGTTATACATTAGCTACGCCCTTATGAACGTCATTTCAAGTAAAATATGATGAGCAATACGGTTACAGTTAGACAGGAAATAAAATGAAATACTCGTCTAAAGTTAAATTCAAAAAAAACAATTAACACATTGGATGAGAATTAATTTAACGTTACAATTCAATAAGCAGATGAGTCACGTTTAGTACGATCTTTCGTAACCATTCAAACTTATTCTGTGAGCATTTAATTATCGCTACCGTTCAATAAACTTCAGTTCTCTAATGCCAACAATAAAATGAAAACGTCGCCGAAAAAGAAAAATTCTTCGTAATGAGAGCAAGCGGAATACTTATTTAAATTGTAGAATCACGATATTTAAATTTGCATATTGATGAAGATTGGGGAAAGAAGAAATGTTCTCGTTTAGAATTGTGCCTCGCATCAGATTACCGTTTGTTGAGACAAATATTGTTCGAATGAATTTTTATTTGACATCTTTTAGAGTTCACTTTTCTGCCATTCGTGATGTGCGTCTAACAAATGCTGAAAGATTCTAGCAAATGTATAAATCGAATTATGATTACACGTGTCACGATAAAGAAGCAATCGATAACTCCGTCGACACCGTTCGTTTTCGATTGTTTAGGATATTCAACTTTTCTTTGAGCTTCTTCAAACTGAAGGCTCTTGTCGTATTATGTCATCGTTTTGTATTTTCTTTGTGCTTTTTTCCACATATCCAATCCACAAATTTATGCTGACAATTTCATTTCGAGAAACATTCTCGCTTTTATTTTCTATTAAGGCTGGCAATCTTCTCTTGATGACAGCAAGAAAATTTGTTATGTCAAAAAGAAACAGACATTCCAGACCAAAACCATTGAAGATGTCTTCAGTCAACGAATAACGTGGTGAAACAAATGAAAATTATCGTGCGGAAAATTCGATTTGTATAAATTGTTCAAGTCGTTCACACAATCAGCCTTGACCTGATCAAACGACGACAGCAAACGCCATTAAACGAATCATATTAGAATGGCTTGAGATGAACGTTGAAGATTTTCAGCAAGATCATTCAAATGCAAATAACGCAGTGTCAAATTCCACGACTCTTCTATTGATCTTAATCTCACCTTCAATGCTCCACATCTCATTCACTTCAATTCACAAACGAAATCAATTTGAAAGTATGAAAGTCCTTGCTTCTGGTAAAAATTCCATTTAACTTATCTTCACTTCATAATAGTTCCAACAGTTGAACTTTTCAGAAAAAAATTCTTTTAATTTTTTTCCCAGTCGATCCACAATTGAATTTCAAAGTCGAATCACGAAGTGTTCACATAAAGAGTCAACAAAAGCGACGGTTGAACTTAGAATTACAAGCTTTAAGGCAATGCGACTTCCGAAAGCTTCAAACAATCTGCGTTTTATTTTTTATACTTTGTAGCGTGTTTTCCATATTTTTATTCCCTCGTTGGGAGATTTTAAGGAAATGGAAAAAAAATTGTTTCGGGATTTTCGATGTTGTCATGGCCTCATTAAACGATAATAAACTTTTGAACTTTGAAAAATTTTGTTGATTCTTATGCTTTTTAAACTTTTTTTTTGCTTTAAATGCTTAACAAAATAAAAATGTATCGATAAAAGAACTTTTCTTCAGTTTTGCCAAACTTTTATTTACAAATAAACTTTGAGTTTTAAAGGAAAGGCAAGGACAAGATTGTAATTCTCAAATACTTTCATGAAATATTTCTACTCGCTTATTGAGTGTTGAAAAAGTAGCTCTAGAGGAAGATAAAAATATTTTTATAATGTGACTTTTTGGTTTGTTAATCTTTGATTGTGGGGGAGGAAACTTTTTTCCTCAACGATAATTGTGATAAATTTTCAGGCTTCATTTCTTTCCCCTTTTAAGGACGTAACTAATAATTTAGCGATTCATAATATCCAAAGGGCTGGCATTTCACTTTTTTTTGTGATTTTTACTGACGTCTCAAGTTGAACAGATAAGGAAAATGAATCATTTTTTACGGTCATGTTAACATTATCTATTCATAATTCGTCACGATAATGATGTTGATATTAAAATGATTTATTACAAAATTACAGTTTAATGATTATCTAGTAAACTTTCTGTAATTTAATCTTTTTCTTATTGCTTCATCGTTTGAAATAAATATTTTTCAACCCTGAAACCTTAGAATAAGTTCTACGGATCAGGAAATATGTTAGTGGTTCAACAAGTTATCTCTCATAAGCACTGTTTTGATGGAGATTCCGGTTTAAAGTTTTCAACTTGAATAGAATGAGTCTTAACTTTTGTTTCTTTCATTCATTTGTCGGAATATGAAACAATTTGTTATGATTGTGTCTCTTTATCTTCTTTCTTTGTTTATTTTTTATTTCTATTTTTGATGAGTCAATAAGAGAAAAAAATACGTTTAATGATGACAATTCAACTAACCTTTCCTCTCAAGTGCATGTTGTGATCTTCAGCCACTTTTGCAGCAATCTCATCACCACCAGGAATATGCACAGCCCATGTATGTGTGTAATGTCCACGCGCTCCTTCAATATCGTATAATTCATCACAGTTCACCCTTGTTATGAATTCATTACAGATTATATGTAATAAAAGCATGAGACATAAGTTGAGTAATCGATAACTTTTGCTAAATCTTAACGGATGTGTGAATGAACTGACGCACGTTCGTTCGGACTCAACGGAATCTGAACACGTTCTCCTTACATCTCTAATATCACGATTTATTTTATAACGATTACGATGTTGGCGAAGCTTTTGAGTAAATTTTAAACTAAGTCGGTCATCCTGGGCGTGAGAGCTTTCAGACGACGCATGATGAATGGGAAGTAATGTGTACGAAGCAGACGCACGTTTGTGTTCATCTTTTTTGCACCATTGAATCACATCATCAGACATTTTGTGGTGTATGCTGCTGTCAAGCTGCTTTTAATTTTGTTCTATAAAGATGAATTGCCAAACACTTTTGTTGCGCCGCATGAGCAGATTCGTCATTAAATTTAATCGACTAGAGGCATGCAGAATGTATTCTTGTGAACTGTTCTAGGATAATACGATGTTGCATGTAATTTTACACTTCACGCATCGCATTCAGCCTGTAAATAAAGAGAGAGAGAGAGAGAGAGAGAAAGAAGAAACAACAATTTAATGAAATTTCAATAAAATTTATGTTGCATTTTAAAACTTTTTATGCCCAGCTTTTATTTAATTAATTGTCTTGTTGAAAGCTATGAAATAATTGAAATTTTATTCACTCCAATCGGAATATTGCAGAGTAAAACAAAAAAAATTTGACCAAGTGGTTGCTACAAATGCTTCAAGTTGAAAATCTTCATGAAATTTAAGATGAAATTGTTAAAAACAATCCGAAAGAAGCTTGAGATATTTCAACCCCCTAAATTCATCTATTTAGCGGAAGGATCGATTAATAACATATTCATGAGGCAATGAATAAACATGAAACTTCTTTGTTCGTAGTTGAATTAAATTGAATTGTGGAAAGTTCATTGATAGCGTGACAGATTGAGATGATTGTAACTTATTGGAATTCTATTGAAAATTTTGGCTTTTTGGTTTGAGGTTGAAAGCATTGGAAAGAGTTCATCAAAATGTGAATTAATTTTGTATTTTCTCGACGTATATCAAGTTGATGAATTAATTGATTTATTTTGTTAGATATGCGAACATTTGTCGATAATAATTAACTTCTGACATGGAAAGATTATAAAGATAATTTGGACACATTTTGATGTCTTAAAATATCTCGATAGATGTCTGCATAAATATTCATTTTTTGTTATTTTTAAACACACACGTGCTTAAACGAATGAAAAGTTATCAAGAGTTTGCTTGCTTTCTTACTTATGAAACCACATCGCAAACCTTCATAAAAGTTTTTCATGATTTTCTTATCATTCGTAGGTAGCTGATAAAAATACAAAATTTGAGTCATGCTGGCGCGTGAAACAATTCAAGTGCAAATGAAAGAAAAATCAGCTTTTCGAGAACGACAGGAAATATTTCAAAATTTTATTACAAATTTCTCTCTTCTTCATGTGTGAAGTTTGAGGATAAGCCAAGAAAAAAACACAACTTAAGCTGTTAGTCAGATAAGTTATCAGTGCAAACATTTTGATAATTTATTGATAACTAATCTTCAATAACAAATGACGACATATCCAAATCAGAAAAGTAAATTCTCGTTGCATGAGAACATGAAATGACTTGTAAGTCGTCATAAAAAAAATCACCTTGAAAGGCATAGAAGTGACGAGGTGAAATATTTAAAACATAATTAACAAGTCATTGTGTGAACACACCTTTCCATTTGGCTCGGTTTCGCAATGCGATATTCAAATATTTTACTTCCACTTAGTGTAAAGCAGGATCAGACTTTGTAAAAAAATTTTATGTTACTACAGGGTAATGAACGCATTACGTATGTATGCTCAACTGCCAATTAGAAACTTAATTAACCTTCCTTAAACTACAGGTTTCCGTTTTTCCTTCGCAAATCACAAATTATTTTTAACCAGTCACCAGATGAGAAACACTTGTGCGGTTCGTAAAAGTATATTTATAAAGTTTGTACTTTTTCACAGCTTGGTAAATGGAAGATTTATCGTTTGTTTGGAGAGTCGAGAGCATGTAAAACAGCGAAAAGATTGTTACTGCTTAAGAAAATATTTACGCTTGCGCAACATAACAGGAAGCATTGCTTGTTCTTTTACATGATTTTAAAATTATATTCGAATTTCAGTCCCTTCAACAAAAACATTTCTTCGACTTTCCAAAATTTCCACTGAAACATTTTTAATCGTCTTATAAAATATCCATTAGAAAAATATTTTTAGATGAAAAAGCTCATTAATCTTCCCGAACAACAACGAAATAAACATGAAAACCAACAGTCATAAGCGATAGATGATGAACTTCAACAAAATGTATCTTATTTGATGACATGTGTTGATTGTTGGTTTATTTCTGAGTTTGAACATTTCAAATGCACTTCTCTGAAGCCTTCAGCATGTTGTTAACGAGAAGGAACAAGTGATTAAATATCTCTGATCGTCTATGTAAGTATATAAACAGAAAACAGAAATTCTCCATGAACAGACCAAAAATTTAACATCAAACAATTGCTCTTTCATGCGCGCTTCTGGCATCAAGATTTGACATTTAAACACAAACCCAAATAATATTTTTCTGCTTTTATTCAATATTTTATTCTACAGAGAGAAGAAACAAATATTAAAAGTCTCCACGACGCTCAATATAAACATGACGCGGGCGAAAAGTTTCGAAACTTTTTTTTATGTTTCATTTCTAAGAATCAGCAAATTGTCGACATTCAATTTACATAAAGCTCTCTTGTTAACAAAATGTCCTTCCCATAATCTCTTAAAGATCACATAAAAATGAAGAATGAATGTTTTCTCCTGTTCTGTTTCATTGAATAAACGAAATAAAAAAAGAATTATTTAAGTGATGATTAACTTTCCGCCCATCTCCGATCCATGGGCTGGTCGGACAAAAACAAAAAGTGAAAGAGAAAAAAAAAGGTTTTGAAGTTAAAATTGTCTGCGCAAAAAAGGGTTTAAAAGAGAGAGAGAAGCAAGTGAACAGTAAGTGAAAAAGTCGCTAAATAATTTACGAGACTATTAAAAGCTTGAAACAATCCAAATAAAAATGCTGCCGCCGACATGGTTAGTTGAAAAAGTCGGTGAAGAATCTTCAACCCAGTAAATTTATTTCAAGCCCCAAATAAATGAAACTTTTAAAGTTTCTCTTTGATTCTATATTTCTGAATAAAATTATAAACAAATCATTGATTGGGATGAGTCAGTCTAAGGATGGTGAAGAAATTAAGATAGGAGTGAAATTGGAATTCTGTATCTAATTTCATTATTGAGTGTTCTTCTGAAAATCCTTCTTTTAACTTAGAAGAACAAACAAATTTCCTAACAAACCACATAGAAAAAGGGTCAACTTTTCGAGAGACTAATTTCGTGGCTTCAAGAAATTTTCTTATAACATTCAAACTCGTTTACCAAGATCTTTCTAAGAAGAAATCATTACTCTGTGGTCTTCTAACATCTAATTAAATCGCCTTTTTTTTTGTTTACAAGTCTGTCATTATGTCATTAAAAATGGAACCTCAAAAATATTTGACTTTTAAATTTTTATTCGATTTTGCGATGTTTCTCGGGTTAATGGATAATAAAAGGCCACTTAAGTCATTATTAAAAAAAGAAATCGTTAAGAAGAGAGAAAGAAGAAAAAAACATGTTCAGAGCAAGTATTTCCTTTCATCGCAAATCTTATTTGAAAATATCAAATCAATCTTCCAAAGTTAATGTAATGAAAATAAGAAGAATTTTTGCATCGTGACTTGTGAATACATTTAAAAGATTCACATACCAGGTCGATTAAACGTGAAACGCTTCAAGTGCAAACTCAAGGAATTCATTCAATTTACTTTGTTAGAGAAAGAAATCAACTCCCGCTACACATCTGCTCATTCATTCAACTTACAGTCTTCAATCTTATTTAAATGATTCGTTTAAATATTGATTCAGAGTTTGATTTTGTTTGTCTTTGATTATTCTCAATATAGAAAATAAAGCATGGAAAACACGGCGCTAAGCTAAATTCCAAAGAACACACACACATCAAAGGAATGAAATATTTTTCTCATGAATGTTTTAGTGGCGCTAAGACTGTGTGTATCTTTAGAGAAAGATCCCACTTAAGCTAAAGAATATATGAAAAAGAATTCTTATGAAGATCTCCGTTCACTTTCAAAGCATGTATGTATGTATGTGAAATGGGAAAAAAGAATTTAAAACAAAGGAGACATAATAAGAACGAGAATCACATGGGGAATGCATATGAAGAGAAATAAAAACCCATTTTATGGAATAAGTTGGTAAATTTTTTAAAGGTTTTTTTATGGATTTTATGTTGCTGTTTCTACCAAATTCTTCTCTGTTGTTTTGTGCTGCCTTTTATCATTAATTTATTTGCTTGATTCTCTCTTTTTTCTGCTATTCAAGATGGAATTATCAGGATATATACAAGGAAGATAACGATATGCTTTGTAAAATTTTAAAAACATGGAAAAAGAATTCTTTTAAAATTGAGATAAACAGTGCGATGAAAAAAAGGACACTTTGACTGTAAATGCTTTTAGTTTGGCTCTTACTACCTGCTACAAGAAGTCATAAAACTTAACTCACGCTGATTTTTTTATCTTATGTTTCTTTCATGCTTTCGTATATGATATGTCTACATATACATAAATATATATAAAAAACATAAGCGGATGAGGAAAAAGGAAAAACGAAGACGCTTCGGAAAGAAGAAGATGAAGAATAAAAAACAAACCTAAATGTTTTCTCAATTTCATTTTCCTACATCAACAAACGTTCTAACAAAACGAGCAAAATGCTACTAGCGTGGATGTGCAAAGTCGTACAATGTCCCATTAAATAAATCAAAAGATAAAATATTAGTTGTTGAAAATATAAGCAATTGTCTTTCTTTTTCTTTATAAGTCAATGCTGGTTTGTCTTCATTTATTTCTGAAATTAACTTGAAAAGTTTCATGACAAAGAATTTTTTGCTTTTTTCGGATCGAAATGATTCTTTCATACGAAATAAACGAGAACATCGAATTTAAGATTTTAATACTGGCACGACTTTTTCAACATGCTGTAGCCAAAGGCGATTATCCGCACTCAATTGGATAATCATTTTCGACGGAATAAAATTATAAAATCTCACAATGTTTAAGCAAAGCTCGGTCGATGCTGCTGCGTCACTCAGTTATTCATAATCGCCCTAAGTATTGCCGGATTATTGTTACAAGGAAGTCTTAATTTAAAGAAATAAATACTTTATGTTTGCCATCGGCAGACCTTGAATGTTTCGAGCTACATGGGTGCAAGTTTTTTTAGTTGATGCAAAGTTTCAACATGACTATTGACACTAACAAGAAGATTCAAAAGAATTTTTGTTTCTTCTTCTTCCAACGTACATATGCCATCAACTGTTCTATGCTTCAATACAAGTTTTGATAGGTAAACAAAGAACATTCAAGGACTTTGATGATATCACAGTCAATAATATTTTCTTTCGAATAAAAGCCCCTCAATGTCACTACCTTTGATGCCATAAATTGTTTGGAACAATGGGTAAGTGTACTTAGAAATAATTGGAATAGCAAAGTAAAGTGAAAGGAAATAGCAATTTTCTTTAAGCTTACGCTATCAGTGCTTTTTCTGTTAACAAAGACTTTTCGAAAATATGAGTTCCATTAGGAAGCCGCTTTATTGGCGAACCTTTTATACTCGAAACGACGACTATTTTTATTATAATCGAACATTGCTTCAACGATTGTTTGTCTGAAACAGGAATTCAGATTATTTTTTATTATTTCACTTAAAGGTAAAATATTCTTATGAAAAACTGCTTCTTCATATAATTTTCTTTAATCTCTGTTTGGTAATATTCGAAATAATTGGAGAGATTATTTCTTCGGTTTGATTGCTAAGCGAAAAAAAAAATAAAAATTACCCGACAAATCCCAAGTCATGCATCATCAGATTTCAGCTTCTTCTCTTATTTTCTCTTTTTCACACAGTTGGGAGAAAAAGCGTTGCGTTGTTTTTGTTTAATTAAGCTAAATGACCTTAAGGATATTTCTTCTCATCAACGAGAATTAATTTCTCAGATTCTATTTTTCCATCTTTTGATGAGATGTGAAAAGACACAAAGAGAAATATTCTTACTTAAACCCTCGGTGTACAAAAGAAAATATTTCAGTGACCCAAAAATTCTTGAAATATTAACGATAACTTTTTTTTTCGGTCACTCAAGCAGCAGTAGCTTGCCAAGGCATTAATTACAAAAAGGAAAATTACAATTTGCATAAAAGAAAAATAAATATGACGAAAAGCCTCTTTTGTGATCGTAAATTCGGGGAATATTCTAATAAAAACCCCACATCTTCATTACATGCCTTTTCATGCCTCTTTTTTTTCTTTTTGTCATGATGAGACCGAAAACCATGTAGCATCATTTTTATTGATTTCACAACGAGACTCTTGTTTGCCTCTAATGTAAATCGAGCCAAAAATGAAATGAAAGAAAAAGTTGGAATTTTCCCAACTTTAACAATCATCGTGTGTATGTTTATTTGAGACGGCACACACCCACATAACAGGAGGAAAATTTCCATGCACATTTTTTTATGTTCTTTATTTTTTCCTGCTCTTGTTTAGCTTTTGCTTTCAGAGCAAGCTCGTGCTATAAGTTTTATTTTATTCTGCAAACATAGCGATTTTTATTTCACGTAAAACGACCTAATTGAAGACCCGTTCACTCACCTGTTTATTTTTGTTTGCTTCTGTTTCACACCGCAAATAATCCAATAAGCCAATTCAAAAAAATCTTGTTGATGACAAAAACAATTTCTCTATTGGCTCGTTTAATTATGTTTTATTTTCTTTTCAATGCAACTTTTGATGAAACATAAATACCAACACAAATCAGTTGAGAAATTAATACAACTTCTTTTTTTGTAGACTTGAGAAACTTTCAAGACTTTTTCTTTCTCTGTCTTCTTATTCTTTATGGTTTTACTCATACAATTTTGAATTTCATTTTGATTTTTTTTCTTTCTTATTCTTATTACATTCAAAGATTTTTACACATTTCTTTGCTCTCTTCTTCTTATTAACTTCTCGTAGATATCTATCATGAAATTGGATTGTCGTGCGTGGCTCAAGAAGTCTTAATTCATAAATTAATTGCACTGACGCATAGCTTAATTTGTAATTTTTATGTTAAACTTTCATCCAACTCACTTCAGCTTAGAATAGAAAATAAATAAAAAAATTAAAACTGGTTCAAATATTTTCTTTTCCGATGTTAAAATGCGTCTACTCCTGAACACAACTCGAACACGACTTGAACGATTTCATAGTGAGGGAGAATAAAAATGAAAATATTGAGCGGATATTTGAGCGAGTCAATCCAGTGTTGTAACTGTTGATAAAATTTTCTAATGTTTTTATGGAAATAAATTTTTAAATGATGAGATGTTTGATGAATTTTATGAAATATCTTTTGAAAAGTAAATATTGATCTTCTGTTTTTTTAATTAATCTAAATTATCAAAAATTATTTAAATCAGAATGTAAAATATAAAATTGTGAATTCTCATTTTGCTTCGACTCTCCCGTAGCATAAATTGAAAGAGATTAATGCTACATCGCCGATGCATCGGCGCATA